AGCCCTTCATCAGAAACGCCCTTCACTCGTCAGTCTAAAAAGTGTTCTTCTTCACGACAATGCACATCCACACGTGGCACGTTTGATGCAACACAAGATTATGGAGTTGGGTTGGGAAGTTCTCCCCCATCCACCATATTCTCCATATATGGCACCATCAGATTACCATATTTTTCATTTGCTGCAACACCATCTTAATGGGAAAACGTATGCAAATGTGGAAGGTGTTAAAGAGGACATCGACATGTTTTTTGCTTCAAAGCCAAGTGATTTCTTTAATCAGGGCATTAACAACTTGATTATAAGATGGAAAAGCATCATCGATAAGAATGGAGACTATTTCATTTCATAAAAGTTTTGTCTTGATATAAAAGTTGTTCGGATTTTTCATCTAAAAAAAGCGACATTAATTTCTTTACGACCTAATATGTGTGTGCAAGATTTCACTGTTTCGCCAAGAAATCGTGGTTTGTATGATGTTATCTAGATCAGGAGTTCCCATACTGTGGGCCGTGGCAAAAACACACAGTACACACTCAATATCTATAGATTCACTGGGTGGGGTACCTCAGTCAGGATGCGAAATTTTCTATGGTGGTAGGGGGGGGGGGGTCTGAGAAAGCTTGGGAACCTATGATCTAAGGTTACAAGAAGTCTACCACTGATGTCACTGTCAATTTCAGAAATTCATGAAACTTACCTTCTTCGCCATCTGGTCCAACTTCCACTACTAGAAGTAAACAAAAAACAAAAAACTTAGATATAGAAACATATTGTATTTAACTATAAAATCAATAATTCGTAAGTAACATTTTAAACAAAAGAAGTTGAAGGTAAAGATCATTAGAAATTGAAATGTTTACAACTTCTCCTAAAACTTTCACACCTTCACGACCTTTTTCTGTTATTGCCATACGTTAGTCCTAAAACTTTCACACATTCACGATCGTTTTCTGTTATTGCCATACGTTAGTTCTAAAACTTTCACACATTCACGACCTTTTTCTGTTGTTGCCATACGTTAGTCCTAAAACTTTCACACATTCACGGCCTTTTTCTGCTTTTGCCATATGTTAGAGAACATCTTTTGTCATTAGCACAAATCAGTCTCTAGATTAAAACAAATTTACTCCCTCTTTGTAATTAAAACACACCCATGGCTCTTTCTTGCCATAACCACGCATTCGAGGACATCTTTTGTCATTATCACACCTTTACATCTCTTGATTAAGTTTCACTTTCCCTCCTGTCATTAACACATCTTCAAGTTCTCCTTTTGTCATCGACACATCTTCACGATCTTCTTCTGTCGTTAATACACGTTATTACAATACCTTCACATCCATCACGATAAATTCACTATTCTATTATGTTATTACCACATCTTCCATCCATTTTCTTTTGTTACAACCAATTCACGATCCTCTCCTGTTATTTACATACATTAGCGAATCTTTCCTACATTACCACATCTTCACATAATTTTTTTTCGTTACAACCAATTCACGATCTTTTTCTGTTATTTATACACTTTAGCGAATCTTTCCTACATTACCACATCTTCACATCATTTTTTTTCGTTACAACCAATTAACGATCTTTTCTGCATCGCCACATCCTCACACAATATCGGTTGACATTGCCACGTGGCTTGATGATTTTAATATAGAGTACTGAACTCTCTGTATAGTATTCTGTTAGCATAGTATTCTGGGACCGAAAGTTAATCATATAACTGCAAATGGAGGCATTTAAGCTAGTGTCACATTTACACTATTCCTACATGCTTCAAATAAAAGCATTTTATTAAGATTACAACAGAAACCTCGTCTCTACCTCTTAACAACCAAAAGATGGTAAAAAACATTCGTTAGGCTTCTCCTTATGGTGGACAATCACGTGACACACTCACTCTAAATATGTCTATTTAAAATTAGAGACAAACATAGATTAAAAACCATCCTAACAGCTAACACTATTTTTAAAGCTTTCCTACCAGAAGAAGGCTGGATTACAAGATACGCTGGATCAACCTGCAAGTCACCAACGTACCCTCGACTGACGGTTTGGTTTAGCTTGGTAGTTAAAGCTGACATATGGTGGGCAATGAAATCGGCATCAGTCAGTGTGGTACCTTCACGTGGCCTTGTTTCGAGAACGATGATCATCATGGTCACCAGGACAGTATTGTTTTCTGTCTTGGTGCTATCAAAGATTTATTAAGTACTGAGTACGAACAAAAAAGTACTATGTTCGTTAAAGACTATAAAAAATACCGAGTATGTACATTAAAGCAATAAAGAAGTAGTGACTACGTTCGTTAAAGACGATAAAAATACTGGCTACGTTCGTTACAGACGATAAAAAATACTGGCTACGTTCGTTAAAGACAATAAAAAGTACTGACTACGTTCGTTAAAGACGATAAAAAAATACTGACTACGTTCGTTAAAGACGATAAAAAAAACTACTGGCTACGTTCGTTAAAGGTAAGAAAAACGAATATTAATTATGCTGAAAGGAACATGAACTTTAGTACGGTCATTTCAATGTAAATACAAATCAACTTCTGAATTATTTCATCCTCGCACATTAAATATGCACCGTATAGATTAAAGAAAGTGGCTGGATAGTAATGGTTGTTTGTTTGAACTAATAGACTACAGAGAAGACGACTAGTCAAAACAGCACCCCCCACACACACACACCTTTCCCCTCAACTCTATCACATGAACATTAAATATGCACCGTATAGATTAAAGAAATTAGCTGGATAGTAATGGTTGTTTGTTTGAACTAATAGACTACAGAGAAGACGACTAGTCAACAACAGCACCCCCCAACTCTAGAACTACTCTAATCGAAAGGTGGGATTTAACCGCCGTTCTTAGAATGCACTCATGAACCCAAACTGCGGAATACAAATTTGCGACAAGGTGACGTGAATTATGGACCAGTAGATTCACAATCCTAACCACTAGGCCACACCTGACCCCGAATGGGTAGTAAAGTTCTAAAATTGTTAAGTCCGTCGATCTATCTATCCATCAATTCATTTGCCAGGACTATTAGTTTGTTGTAATTTACAAAGTTTGATTGTAAACGTATAAGTGTTGCACGACATTTCTCTTTTATTCCTTAAGTATTATTTAGTTCAATAGAAATATGTAAAAAAATGTATTTTTCTGTGCCACACTTGTAAACCTAGTTTGATTTATCAATAAAAAGTAGAAATATTCCTATACTTATTCTTATTCATCTTTCTACTTATCTAAAATGTTCTTTTATATGCAAATGTTTACAGGTTTGGAAGCCGAAATAGCAATTTTCGTTCTTTTGTAAGTAGTATAGAATAATGTGTTTATATAAGTTTCCTAAGTTTTCGTGCAGGTGTTATGCACGTGGTTATGACATTCATTTTAATCTGATGTCAACAGGTTGTAAACATGCTAATATTTTTACTTAGGTAAAGGTTACATACAGCAATGGCTATCTCATAGAAGCTTGTATCAGTTTTGTCCTGTGTCTGTGTCTGCTCTCTGGGATGGGACAAACCCATCTCAAGGGGTGACACAGATACTGGTACAAATAGGTATGAGTTAACGTTTTCTCCCTTGAATATATTATTTATGTTACATACAAGCCTATCCATCTCCACTAGCTAGTTTGAATATAAACACTTAGAGGCTGGCCAGTTTGGTAAATATACATAACTTATTGTGAATAATAACTCTGATTATTTGGTCACTTGTGTTTGCTTTATTTTATTTTTCTGTGGTGCGCCTGAACTCCATGAACTTGATAAATATAGATAATTTGATTATGTGACCAAAGGATTTGTTATTGTGGGGTCTATTATGAACATACTTCTTTTGTCATTTTACTTTATGGCATTGTAACATTTGTGAACAGTGATCATGGACGGAGAATTTCTGAAACTACATAGAACTTTTGGCAGAGAGGAAGAAGCTATGATTGAAGTGAAGACTTGATATAATAATATGACAAGGATTAAGAGAAGAACTCTCCTAGACCCAGAGCTTTTACCAGCAATGGTGAGGGCTATATCCACCTTCTTTCTTCGTCCTCGAGACAGTGTCTGAAAACTGGCTAGGGAAATCCAGGCTGCTATTACATGACTTCTTATGGTTATTTCCTCTGGTCTGGAGCAGAGGAAGTCATAGTGACGTGACGATTACTTCCTCTGTTCAGGAACATAAAGCAGCAGAGAAAGTCACAGTGAAATAAAGATTATTTCTTCTGGAACACAGAGCAGCAGAGAAAGTCATAGTTAGTGATGTCGAGCAGCCTGAACTTCCCGAAAATTACTGGGATGATCGTTTTCGACACTCTTGAAAACCTATGCATCACAAAACATTGCTTTGAGTCACCTGAGGCTAAGGAAAAGCAATGGGATGTATATGTCAGAAAAACTTTGATGCAAAACACTATGATGGTGTCATGCAGAGCAGCTAGTGTCACGTCACGATCCATCAGATGTTGAAGTGGATTAGTCTCATCATTACGATGATAAACATTGCCACACATCATGGCACTCTCCAAAACATAGCTTGCCTGTGGATGTCTCGTTCATCAATATGGGCATGTCTCGACTTATGGAACAAGAAAATACCTCCTTCACAGCAGTAGAGTAGCTTCACTATAATTAAGTTACAATTGTAATGGAAACAGATAAACCCATCAATGTTAAACTTGTGAGTAGTTAGGTGGCAGGTCAATCGGTAGATTAACCAGTGAAAGGGAGTTGCAACCCTTACTTTCTGAGCTGTCAAATGTTGTTTCATGATAAAATGTATGTACACGTGTACAATATGTGCTAGCCACTTAACTATCTCACAGTTCGAACAGTGATTGGGTGAAAAAACCATGGCTAAGTAGACTGTTGGCAACTCTCACTTTGTGAGCTATCGAACGGTATTTGGTAATGAGACATTGATCAAATGTCTTGTGATAATCATTTATCTAGCTGATTTGTGGTGACATTTTCCAGGCTGTTAAAGAATGTGGCTTCAAATATTGATATGTTTAGTAAATATCACAGTGATTATTTTAGACTGCACTAAGAAGTAGACACAAAGTGTTCGTGTTTTCTTAATGCAGGTAAGTAATATACATGCTCACTGATTATTTTAGACTGCAATACGAAGTAGACACAAAGTGTTCGTGCTTTCTTAATGCAGGTAAGTAATATATATGATCACTGAGAGAAAGACACCTGCTTCAGAATGTACACCACACCAAGTGAAAAACACAGTGTACATATTGTTTTTATCGGTGTTCGTGAAGGAATATCTTGTAGTGAAGCATTTGAAATATTCATAGATTAAGTGACTTAGTTTTTATGAAACGAAATCACAATTACCTGTCTGTTCGAAATTTATACAATTAAACTAGTTCCAAACTTTGGGTGTTAGTTCTAAATGTTTATCTCGATATTATTTCCGAGTAAGGTAGTCAATCGCAAATAACGAACTTTACGTTAGCTACATTTAGCTGTAGTTTATAACGTAATTTCTGTGTGGACTTTAAGAATATAATTAAAGATTTATTTGTGAATTGACTTATTTATTGAGATTATGTGTAACTTATATCGGAAAAGAGGTTGGCGTTGTGAACAAACATGTTAAAAGATATTAAAGGTTAGAAGCTTTGGTTACTGCTTGTAAAGTAGTTGGCCTCATTTTCACTTACCTGTGTTAAATATGATGACAGTTTTACTGCTCCTTCCCCCCCCCCCCCAATGGACCCAAGCTCTGTCTCTATGACAACCAGAAAGTGGTGAAAAAAAAAACTCGCTTGTAAGTGAGATGGTCGAACTTTCTGACTAATATGGAACTTAATTGAATAAGTAGA